CTTTTATTTGGATGTACAAAAAGCCTTTGAACGTCTAACAACCACCCCCCCCCTCCCCTTCAAATCGGCTACAAAATTTTGGATCTTTCCGAACTATTTGTCCGAGACTATGTACGCAGAAGGCATTATTCCAAGATATACAGACGTTCGGGAACAATAGTTTGCCGGGTCACTGTATTCCCAGATCTCAAAACGTTTTTTAGAGCTACGGAGTGTACGAGCTTTGTTTACACGCTATTTCTTGAATATTTTTTCAAGTTACCTAGAATATGGGCAGCACGGCTGCTGAGCGGGCTCACACCGCGGCGCGTCCAAATCCACTTCTCGGGGCCGGTTCAAGGACGGGCGGACTCTAGTCGTCGGGTGTACGGCGTTACTTCCGAGTGACGGCATCGTCCAGTCTCTTAGCTAGTTGTCGTGGAATCCGCAGAATGGACAAGCAGCAACGCTGCTGCGCTGAGCAGACTGGGTCCTACTGCGCAGTACCCCCCCTCACCCTCAATGGGTATCGTACCATGTCGCATTTGTGACGTATCAAGCAACGCCACGTTCGATAGACGAATTTTCCGGCCCGACCGTTCGAGTGTGATTGTTAAAAAGACCTGAAAACACGGTATAGCCCGTCACGGGGTCTTGCCCTCGCCTAAATTAATACACGCTTAATTTTGCTGCTTCAATTGACAAGCTGAAACAGACGGAAAGTTTGCCGCGCATCGCCGCACAATACACCGCGCGCGAAGACGCGAAAAATCACAGTTGTCTTGTCCGTCACTCGTCCGCAACGACTTTTTTGTCGCACGTGTTTTGCGACTCAGAATTAAGGCTATACACACCTAGTCGTCTGTGCTCCCAAGGCTGAACATGGGAAGAAGGAGGGTCCACTTAAACACGTCATCGCTTTCCTCCCTCAATCGCATAGCAGGCGTCTGTATGTAGCGCGGTGCTAAAAGGGGAGAAGAATGCATTGAGCGCTAGGAATGATGGTCGCTGCTCAGCCTAGGGGCAAGAAGCGAACGACTTTCCCCCTCCCATGCTCTTTGCTGCCCTCCAAGGCTTAGGGAAGAGCTTCTCATGATCGCTTCTGATAAAAGTAGAATGTATGATGATTTTGAGTGGATCAGGTGCACTGTACCAAAATGCTATCTATGCTGGACTAAGCCTTTTCTGGTTAATTCAAAGCTGAAATGGGTCATTCAGGTTCAAGGACGGCTTCCTTCACCTTTTCCTTCTTCTGTGCAACAATTTCCCATACCGAAGCCAAGAACGGTACGCACACAGTCTTACGTTACTTGAATTCATGACGCTTCAGAACTGACATACCTGGAGGCACGCTAAGCGATGCGTTCAGAGCGGCGAGATGTCGTCATCGCCGTTGATGGCAGAGGTGTTGCTCTGAGGATCAGTGCTATGAGTTGTGGCAAGTTCCTCGTCCACAATGGCGTTGGCACATCTCCGCGCTTTGAAGGTCAACTGCACACTCAATTCCTGAGGAACTGGTCCTCGCCAATCGTTAGGTGAATGGGACCGCATGCAGCAGCGGGCCGCTGCCTCCGCCTAAAAGTGCAAGAAACCGAAACGGAGCTGGAGGCTAGTGGTATCCGGGCAGGTTTCAAACTCAGCTCGGACTGCCGCACTATTAGCCGTACGCCCAACCATAGCCAAACGCGCTACTTGTCTGTGCCCTTTCATTTTCTAGCTGTTCTCGCTTCTGAATGTGCTCCGTTGCGGGAACTTGGCATCGACGCAAGCGCTTCAGCTTGTGGACTACCTGGTGAAGACTCAAGCAGCACCCATGGATCACTACTCTTCAGCCTTATTTCCGTGCGCTCACAAGTGACAAAGATTTTACGCTTGTACAGTAACGAACTCGTTCTTCTCGCACAGGGCAGTGACGTCGGAGGCGAGTGTGAGTCTTGCTTTGAATCCCTCGCTGAAGTCGCGTCATTCGCTTTTTCGCGAAAGGATTCCGCCGTCTTTGGAGATGCTGCCATCTTCTTTTCATTATTTTCTTGTTTTTTTTGTTTTCCTATTCCTCTGTTTTCGGCAAATTTTCGCTTACCCATGTCAAGGCGCTGCATGCATTTTGAAGTGGATGCCTCCAGCGCATCATATGGAAAGTCTCCTTTGCTTTATAATGCATGCAGAAACACTAGAGAGTGTAAAGGGTTCCTTAGTAAATATCTATTGTTTCTTCCAGAGTGAGCCATGCACCCGACTACCATGAGAGATTTTAGTGGGTATTTACTGCGATCATCCCCGAAGACATCGGATGGTATCGCTCTGCACAACTTTGGCATCTACAAGCAAGCTAAGCTCACTCGGGCCGGTGTCAATGAGCCCACCAGCTTCGCTTGACCACTGCTTTCTTCCTAAACCGATCTCTTGCTGATCACTATCGGTGGAAAGGACAGCCGGAGGCGGGCTCATCCCTTGACGCCGCCCTGACTGACTGTGACGATAATAACAGTTAGCTACTACACCAGAAAGGTGTAGAGGCGAAACGAAATCCAAGAAACCTCCACATTTTGAAGATACGTAGAAAGCGCGGCGTCCACAAGCGTGCCTCCAGGTATGTTAGTTCGGTGTTAGTCTAACAATGAACTGATGGGGCGCTGTTCGGCTTGGGAAAGAGAAGGGGTGATTTTGCAGTGTACTAGGGAGCCACTTTTCTTACAGGAATTTACAGGTCTTCACAAGATGGGCTGCGCAAGCTCAGCTGCGTTCCATTTGGTGTCCTCTCCAAGCCGAACTGCGGCCATGACTTTTTCGTGTGTCGACAAAATTATTCGTGAAATGCGCGGCGCTTCTCACTAAAACGTTAGCCCAAAGGTCCACCTTGCATGTTTTCGAAAACATCCCAAGGAATATTCTCTTATTCAGAGAAGGCTGGATAAGGTAGCCGAAGAAACATCAGAAGTCAAATTCTCAGAAGCTCCAGTGCTGGTATTACCTGAATACACTGTAAGTTGAGTCCTATTGTTTCCTGTTCGCTGAAAGGTCTTGAAAATCTCTATTTCGAAATAGTTCTTGATTAGTCTAACTAAAGGCATACGGCACGATAATCTGAACTCGGTCCAAAATGGTTGCAGGGGTATATAGTGGGGAAAATGGCAAAAAGAAGTGAAGACAATGGAAAATGCTCGAAAAAACCTTTGTTCTACACGACTCAGAAAGCAATTTCGGACGAGTTTTCCGTTGGCATCGTGCCAGTAACCGCTACGGTAGATACGGCTGCATGTATGTACTCATATATCCATGCAGCACCACCGCCGCTTTATATGAATCCCTTCACTTCATATTGTACTTCGCAAATGAAGCTACGAGCATCAGGATCGGTCGGACTGTTGTGGGCGGGCGGATGTGGTGGGCATACGGGTCGGTATGTTCCAGCTTGATAGGCTGCCATAGGGAAACCTTCCTTGGAAGAGGCGGTGCCGAATTCCGTCCTGCTATAGGCGGACTGATCGTACACGTCCCGGGAATTTATCGTGCCTTGCCTTTAATCGAGACTATTCAAGTAAGCCTTTCCAAAATGATGGTGCTTCTCTTCAAAAGACGAATGTTCTTGAAAACACAGAATGGAAAGTACTCCGCACTCGTTTCGTGGGCGGAGTCCGCCCTGACATGTGTTCCTTCAACCCTTTGAGCCGTCCTGCGGTAGAGTGGGAAACACTGTAAGTGAATCCTTTGCCTAAATGTTTTCTATTTCAGACAGAAGAGTGTCATTTGAAGATGTACCTGGTCTACCCTAATGCCAATAGGCAAGCCGGCTGCACAGTGATCTGGAGGGATATCGTCGAAGAGAAAGTTGAAGCCACTTTTAAGGCTTGTAAGCCTAGGGACGGCGATCGACGACCAAGCCAAACGGCTCCAGTTGAGGTAAGCAAGTAAGCGGAGGCTTTCGTGAGGTTCCGTTCGTGAAATGGGAGATTTCTGTAACTTTAACATTTTTAGGCATCACTTTCAAAAGACAGCGAGGAGAATGTCATGGTCACGCGATTCTGAAAAATATATATTCATATTATCACCTCGATTTAGGGTAACAATTGTCTGTAAACTACGGAATGAAGAGTTTCCCGTCTACGCCTTTGCTTTTGTACACTGATAACAAGGGCTGGAAAACGGCTGATACGAATGACATAATGCAGTCTTGTCGCTTGCAGAAGGGAAAAAATGGGCTGGTGCTGCGCCAAACCCATCCCCTTTTTGACACTCGTTTGGTAGCTCTATCCGTTATTTGGTAGAGCGCCTTTAGTAAGACAGAATTTGTTCTCCGATCTACGGAACGTTTGAAAAATTGGAGTTCCAATTTCAGCTGTTCATAACTTCTACGCCTCACTATCTGACATGATGGCACTGAAAGAGGGGTGTTGTATACAGGGGGGGGGGGGCAAAAAAAGACACTTCGACCGAGTCACATATCAGCAAAGTTTTCGCAGCCCAGACAGAAGACGTGGATACGAGTACCAGGGCGGAAGATACCCAAGATGTTCCTCTATAAGCAGGAGCTGGCTCTCGCCCATCACCTTCATGTACACCAAAATATGAAGTCATCTCCAGTCGCAGCCTGACTGGAGAAGACCTTTGGAATTCACGTC